TTGTAATTCTTCTTATCATCCATAAGTTCCTTCTTATCTTATCACCAAGAAATAAAAGAAGAAGAAGCATAAATTAGTAAAAATGTATAGAAAGATGGTAGTAGTAAGTAACAATTAATTGCAGTAAAATTGTCAAACATGTATTGTGAGGTATTTCAGTTTCTTCTCCCCTCAAACTTGGAAGTCATTTCTGCTCATAGAGTGAGTATTAGCAAATTGCTTTAAATACTTGCACCGGCCATTGACTCATTTTTTCTCATTTTCTGACCAGTTCATTTGGGAGACCAAATGGTCTTTTTCCATACTTTTAATACACCCATAGCAGACAGGACGTTTCCTCAACGGTACCTTGATGAGCAAATTTAATCAATGTTCGTGTCTTGACATATGATGCTTAGTTGAAAAGGTCTAATTAGAAAAATTAAGTACCACATGTTGGGTGAATTTTCCCATACTTATTGATGATGAATGATTAAAAGGTTAGAAAAATTGATGAATGATAAAAAAAAAAAAAAAAGAGTAGTCATACAAGTAGGAATTAATTAAAACACCAAAAACTCAACGTGTTTATGAGAATTGATACTTGAGAGTTATAGCCAATCTCTCTTCCAATGACTTGAGTAGGATCACGTATGAAGGAGTTATTTAATTAAGTGTTATTATCTTTGCGAATTTGCTGTATTGACCTTAGAGTTGCTTTGGTAGTTATCCTAAAATATTGGTTTCACTGGAATTTCATGCTAATTAGTCATTTAGAATTGATAATAAGGCAACCTACAATGTTTATTAATGAATTATATATAGTTTTCTACCATTGTTACAACTAATAATTGCCATGGTTGAATCTTGTAATTATTAAATTTGTGCTAATTCCATCCTTATCTAACCATGGTTACTCTTGTTCAAATTCTTACTTCTTCTCCCTAAAATTTTTATCACTTGTCGACCCTCTTCCATTGTAATGCTTTGGGATTCGGTTTTCCTTTTTTCAAAACACAAAACAAATAGGATATAATCGTTGCCTTTTTTTTTTTCTCTTAAACTTGCTTAAGGTTACATGTTGAAATTCTGCCTCCGAGGCTTGGTCTGGTAGCTGGGGTTGTTGAAGATGGGGCTTTGATCCCTGATTTGAACCTTACTACCAGCAAATTGTAAAGGGTGGGGGAATAGTCTACGGAATCCACTATTTATGGGACACCCCTAAAAAAAAAAGTTACATGTTGAAAATCTCCATATCTGCTATTTAATATTTTTCTATCCTTTATATTTTTATTTGTTGATAAATTGCAGGGAGTTTGTCTTTCCGAATTTACTGATCAAACACGTCTATATATTATTACTTCAAATGAGTGGATTACCTCTTACAATTTTCTTTTGCTTTGTTTCATTCATTCTCTTATTAATTATTAAATCATACTAACTTGTTAATCATTATTATTTCAGTAACCCTTTCTTGTTAAATCATACTAACTTGTTAAATCATACCTACAATAGAATGCGGCTTGCTCAAATTGTCCAGATAGGTACATATGGACGTTTTTGGACCAGTTATTGCAACGCTGGGGCCTACAACGACACAATTTGTGCAGCTGGTGGACTTAATGCAAGGCTTGAATTTGATTGGCGGTTCGTCAAATTACGAGAATGTTCCTTTAGTTTTTGAGACAAGAAGGGTCCCCAGCCGGTTAACGTCATGAATTCTACAAATTTTGACATGTTTGTTTGGACTGATTTTTTTGACAATTTTTTTTTTTTTTACGTTTCTTTGTAAGTATAATTTTTTATTTCACATACATTAAATTATAACAATTTACAAAAATTTCTAAAAATAGCACCAAACGAGCTTGACTTCAAATTTTCTCTATTGGAGTATTGCAGATAAAACAAAAAGGTTTTGGTTTTGTTTTACCTACTATTTTATTAAGAGTCTGGTGAACCCATCACAAAATAATAAATAATGAGGGGTTTCGAAATCAGCTAATTTCTTCAACAAAAAAAACATCCGAAATGATTTTATAAAGAGAATCCAATAATACTACTTAATTAAGCACAAAAACTAGTACTCCAATACACTAAACTATCATTGAAGAAACGTACACCTTTTTTTTATTTTACGTCAAATGCTGAAATTGTCATTCTTAAACAGTTTGAAGTACAACTAGACTCACCCACTCATGCTTATTGCTTATGATCGGAGGATCTCTTGCTTGTACAACTTCAATTCAATACCCCTTTGCTCATACATGGCCACTAGTTTGAAAACAGCAAAATCCACACAAAGCTAGAAGTATGCGTACATGTAATTTGGATCCCTTTTTATTAATCTGCTGAATTTTGAAATCTGACTACTGAAATAATTAATTTACTGAATTTTAACCCTAAACGGCGTTCCAACATAATTTGAACCAGTCATGTTCTCTGTAAATCTTGCCAAAACCCAAAACACACAAAGGAACAGAAACAAAACTGTGAAGCACATGAAGCAAACCGTGGGAATCCTACTCGGATGGATCTCACCCCCCACCCGACACACTTTGTCCAAATTCCGAAAGTTAACTTTTATTATTGGCAAAACTGATAACGCATCCTAGCAAGTAATGATAAAAGCAAGAAGCAGTTGATGGTTCACGGGGTCCAACTACGGCTATCAGGCAACCCGTGCACCTAGGAAAGCACATGTCTCAACTTCTCCACTATTCTATTCTATTCTATTCTATGTTGGCTTCCTCTTCATCAGAAGTAATGAATGGTAGGCACTCATTCATTCATTGCTTCAATAACTAGAAACTAGTGGGCAATCCTATGAATTCAGCTCCGGAGCTAATAAAGAAAATAGCACAAAAGGGCAGTTTGGTGTACACAAACTACGAAGTCTTGAGATTAATTTCCGTTTGTAAGATCATGCCAAGCACTTCACAATAATAATGTCTTGAATGCGATTCTATTTTCTCTGTTTGTTAGCGGGACTAGGGAATTTACCTAGACGTAGAGGGCAATCATTCGACTTACCCCTTTTTTTTTTTTTTTTTCCCTTAGCAGCGACGAGATGAAATTTAAGAAGCTGAGAAGAAGAAAAGGCATTTGAATCCTAAACAGATCATTCTTGAACGAGGAATTTATTGATGTTCTCCAAAACTTTTATCTTTGTGAATGAGGATTTAAAGGGGGTCAGCTACCTATTTCGGCTCGCATAATTCTCTTCTTCTTCCTATCAAACAATCAAAGAATTTGCAGCTTCAGAAAAGGGGAAATACAATTAAAAGAACTTGCTTAGAAATAAGAGAGTTTGGTTAGGCATGATATGCACGTGGTTTTTACAATTTTAACTAGCGTCGTGATCACCACCATATCCCTGTATGCAGAAAGCTGCCTCATCCATCCCAGCAATTATGGCTCTTTCAAATTTGTTGTGTGGCTTCTGGCCCCTACCACAAACCACCGACTACAAAAGTTCCTTGGTCAAGTTTTGCTGCTACGGCCTACGAGCCACCAAGCCAATCCAAATTTGTCACGTCTCCAAGCTCATCTTTCTTGTACTGTCTGATGACAGATAGATCGTCTGCAATCTTAGTGAAAGTGCACTGTTGATGGACCCAATCTTCATCTCTTACGACTCTCTTATTTCCAATGTCTGGCAATATGATTAAGCACCTCATGTGAAAACGTTTCTATTTCTCCATCACTTGGAGTTACTTTGATTGTTCCAAGAGTGATTAGATGTGACTGTTTAAGATTCGGGATTATTATACATTTATACTATGCGTGAAATTACTCTTTACTTCCTCATAATCTCGATGATTTATCCCTAAGAATAGAATTTGTCTACTCAAATCTGTTATGCCTAAAAACAAATATTTTATGCATAGAGACTTGTGTCTTGCGATCATAGAGAAAGGGAAATCAAATGGCAATGAACCAACCAAGATACATTTGTATAAGCAGTTCACAGGCTCAATTTACGTTTTTGAATCATGCTATTGCCATCTGTCATCAAACATCAAAACCAGAATGAGCAAATAGAAAATCACAATAGAGAACTCCATAGAAAACATCGAAACCAGAATGATTCCCGAGCGTCTTCTGCAAAATACTCGTACCCAAGTCGAGAAAATACAAGAAGATAACGGGATAGCGCCTATATAAAGGGGGCTTTACCAGAGACATGTAACCCAAAAAACTGAAGCACAAGCAGAGTAATGACTCCAAAAGAAAAGGGAAAAAAAAAAGTGAAGAAAGGTGAAAAGGAAAATCGGACCAAAATATAGGATAACACCAGTTAGGTATTATCCAAAATATAACAGAAAGGAATACCATCATTCAATAGGCAAAGTAATACAGAAGATGCATGGGCAGCATAATTGAAACTAAGCAACATGTCTTTCAATAAGAATTTCCAGCATAACCAATGACAGCTGCTGCAAAAACAAGCAAGAAAAGACAAAATGTATAATTCAATACCATAAACAGACCACACAACAGAAAATCTAAAGTAAACTAATCAATGTTTCAAAAGTAAGCAATAAGCATTCACTAATATTTTTTGCCCTGGATACTCCAATTGCATGCATGACTCAGAAACTCCAAGTGGTTTAAACTTATGCCTTCTATCCCTTTGCAGCTTACAAAAAAAGGACCCATAACCCATCAAATGAATAGGCACGCGAGTAGATAAAATAAGCCATAAAGGGCAGATGGAATAGTATTCAAACTACCGGGAGTTTGTGATTTAATCACCTACACTATCTGAGGCCTAAATATCTAGTCAATCATCTACTGGCTTCTTTTCATTTTTTTTTCTTTACCAGAGTACGAAACATGATATACATGCAAGCAGTTTTCAAGGTCAATTGATGTTTCTAATTATGCCATTTATCATCAGATATTAAAACCCAAATGAGGGAATAAAAAAAAAATTAGAATACAGAATTCCATATAACTACTCTAAAGCCTTCAAGCATGACATAAACATGTACAAATAACTGGCAATCAATTTTATGCAATTTAGCTTCTATAGAAATAACTGGTAATCAATTCATTTTTGTCTTTCCTTTTTTTTTTTTAGTTTCAAAGTGCTTCAAAACAAAAACAAAGATTGTCTAGATCTCCCTTAAAACAGAACAAAATGGAGAGGCACATAGAAAAATTCCTAAGACCTTCAGTTTCTACCATGTAAAAACCAGAGTAAAACAAATTAAAAAAAACAGCAATCTACACCATCAGGACTCAAATAGGAAGCAAGAATCCATAAATCGTGGTCTACAGCTACTACATGCAAACTCATGTACAGGAACAAAATTCACAAATAATTAGGGATTAAGTCATCATTGATATCAAATAACAGATGAATCAGTTATATGCAACAAGAAAGCACGGAACTCAAAGAATCTCATCTACAAGAATGGGGTAAAAAGAAACGGTAAAGAAATAATACTCATCTTAAAGCGTTTCTCCTCAAAAATCTTTCATCACTGCTAGAAAAGAAAGCAATTCTCTTCACAGGAACCTTTCTGCCCTCTCTCTCTCTCCCCCTCTCTGTTTTGAATTTTTGGAAGACTAGAATACAAATGCAAGCTTTATGTAGAGGCTACTGGGTGTCAGTAAATGGCTAATTTTCACTGACAGGTGTCGTCCGAATACCAATGGTAAACTCAAACGGGTTTGTTGGGATGGAATAGTCATCATAAATTGGTAAATTGGGTTGAATAGAATATCACTCTGGAAAAGTTGAAATCTAATTGAGAGGTGTCTGTAGATAGTTGACATGGATAGTAAGTCAGTAATGTAGACAATAGCGAGGGTAAAAAATATTACAGAATTTTAATTCCCAGAAAAAAGGAGATAGGCAAGCACAATGGGCTCCTCTGGCACTGAAGATGGTGGCATGGATAGTAATACATAAAGCACTTTCATTAGAACCAAATTTTCAATCTAAGAATCAAGAATGCAAATATGAAGTTGATGTTGTTTGGATCAAAAGAGTTCATTTTTACGAGTTTAGACTATTGGAAATACTTCATAGGTCAACTAACGATTTTCGTATACCTCTTTGTGAATTCTTGGCCTACTGATGCGGATATGAAATGTTTGCAAGGGTACAAAAGTGCTTGCGATATGCTATTCCATTCCCTTGTGTCTTTAGGAAATACGCGTGCCCAGGGAAGTGGATAGGTTTACAAGAAGATAAGATAACCAAAGGGATAATAGGATAGCATCCAAAAAGGGTCTTTACCTAAGACATGTAACTCAGAGACAGGAGCACGAACAGAGTAATGATTCCAATAAAAGAATTGAAGAAAGATGAAAAGGAATATCAGACTAGACAAGAAATGATGGATAGAAAGGCCCGTTCCTCTGGGCTGACAGCCAACTAAAAGTTTCATCCTAGAGAAATGACTCTCAGAAGCTATATCAAAGAAATTATGACAATGTTCAATGGTCTACATGAACTCCACAGAGAAACGCTAAATTGATTCGAAGAAATCGTAAGAAGACAACCTCCAAATGAACCTTGGTGCAACATGCTTTCTTGTAATTCTTCAGGATTTCTAGAATCTGAGATTCACTTTCTAATGACACCTTTTGGATCTCCAATTTATTTCTCCAGAACACTACTTATTCAACAAAAGATTTGTTGACTATCTCCCAAACTTGTAACAAACCCACAAATAAGTTCCAGGTAACTCACCTATATTAATTTCAATTCCCTAACACAATATCAGAATCCAACAAAATGAAAATAGCATCACTCCTCCTATCACCATCTAAATATTCAATTTAAATCCTTCAAGGCAATGTCCATACTACAAGAGTCAAACTTTAACTTGCAAAGGGATAAAACTCTGCACAGTTCCACAAGGTACTTACTAAGCTTGGTATACTCTGGCTACCCCTTGCCTTAAACCTTGTAGACTGGTCAAAAACAACCTCCAAACGAACCATTCTGTCATATGTACGAATTTCACACTAAACTTAGTATGTTCTTGTACTTTTTGCCATCAACCTCATAGAATGGTGAAAACCAACCCATAAACCTTGGTGCAATATGCTTTCTTGTAATTCTTGGGATTTATAGGACCTAAAATTCAGTTTCTAGTTCACCTTTTTTCTTTCGCCAAACGTGCCACTTATCTGCCATTGACAACAATCCAGACTTTTTTCAAACTCAAATAGATTCCAAGTAACTCACATAGATTAATTAGAATCCAACCAAAATCTCAGAATCCAAAACTATGCCCATATACTCTGTTCCACCTGGCACCCATTTAAATATTCAAATAAAGTGCTAAACTGCAACTTCATTACATGAGAGTCCTATATTTGCCTGCAAAGGGCAAAACATTGCACAATTCACCTAATTCTGGACAAAACCCATCCAAATGAACACTGTTGCAATATGCTTTCTAGTAATTCTTGGGATTCATAGAACCTAAGTTTCAGTTTCTCTAAAAAAAAATGTTTCAGTTTCTAATTGACCATTTTCTTTTCTCCATAGGACCACTTATCAGCCATTAAAGTATTTGAAACATTCAAAATTTTTAACAAACTCAAATAGATTCCAAGCAACGGACCTACATTAATTATAATCAGACAAAATCTCTAAATCCGAAGCACATATACTTGATTCCACCTGTCATGCATTTGAATAATCAAATCAAATGCCAAAAATGACAAAGAGCAATGTCATTAAATAAAAGTCCTATAATTTCCAGCAAAGGACAAAATTCTGGACAACTCACCTAAAATGAACCTAGCTACAATGTGCTATGCTATCTTGTAAATCTGGTTCTAGAAGTTCACTTTCAGATTCTAAAAACCACAATACTTCTTGCCTACCACAAAATCATTGGTAATACTGCAGATTTTAACAAACCCACAGATAAATGCCAAGTAGCTCAGCTAGATTAGATAGAATCCAAAAAGATGCAATACTAAGTTCCTTGTGTTGCCATCTGGGCATTCAATTTAAATCCCAAAATGCAACGTCCTTGAATATAAGTCCTCCCAAATTGCCTGCGAAGGAACCAAACTCTGCAGAAAGCCAACAAACTATGAACTAGACTTGGTATGTTCTGGTCACTCTTGGCCTTGAGCCTTGTAGAATGGTAAAAAAGCCTCCAAATGAATTATGCTGCAATATGCTTAGTAGTAATCTTGGGATTTCTCGAAGCTAAGTTTCTTTACTAAATAACCTTTTTTCTTTCTTCTATTTAATTAACAAGAACACTACTAATTGATCATCAATACAGCAAATATTTAACAACCAACAAATAAATTTCAAGCCGCTAACCTATATTAGAAAGAATCCCAAAAGATGCAATACTTAGTTCCTCATATTACCATATGGACCAATCAATCTAAATCTAGAAGTGAAATGTCCTTGTATATGAATGAGTCCTTTAAATGCTTGCAAATGAACCAAACTCTGCACAACATCCAACTGAACTTTGTATGTTCTGGTTACTCTTTGCCTCAAGCCTTGCAGAATGGAGAAAAAACAACCTAAAAACTGCCTTGCTGCAATATTCTTACATGTAGATTTAGAATTTCCCAAACCTAAGTTTCTGTTTTAAATAACCTTTCTTTTTTTCTCCATTTATTTAACTAGATCAACTGTAAAATTCATTGGCAATACTCCAGATATTTAATAACCCACAAATAAATTCCCAAAAACTCACCTTGACCAACAAGATACAACATAAACTTTGCTCTTCCTGTCACCATTTGTATATTCAATTGATACCTAAGTCTGCACGACACCAGTAAACTTCTAATTAAACTTGGTATGTTGTAGTTGCTCTCTGCCTTAAGCCTTGCACAAAGGTTAAAAAGCAACTACAAATGAACGTTGCTGTAATATGCTTGCCTGTAATCCTTGGGATTTCTGAACCTAAGTTTCTGCGCTACATGACCTTTTCTCTTTTCTCCATTCAACCGGAACACCAGTAATCTATCATAGTATTCAATGACAATACGCCAAACTTTAACAACCTAGAAATAAATTCCAAGCAACTCACCTAAATTAATTAGAATCCAATAGCACGCGCACATACTTTGTTCCTCCTATCACCATTTGAGTATTCAACGGATACTCTAAAGTGCAATGTCCTTACACAAGAGTCCTATATGTGCCTGCAAAGGGCAAAACTCCACACAACTCAAACTTCTAATCATCCTTGTCTATATACCATTTTTCTGATTCTAAATACCGTTTCTTTTTTGTCCATCTATTTCAATTCAATACTACTTCTACCATGAAATTACTGACAATACTCGAAATTTGTAACAAACCAGTAGATAAATCCCAAGTAACTCACCTAAATTAGGCAGAATTCAAAAGATGCGATATTCAGTTCCTTGTGTCACCATCTGGCCAATCAATTAAATTAGACAGAATCCAAAAGATGCGATATTCAATTCCTTGTGTCACCATCAGGCCAATCAATTAAATCCCGAAGTGCAATATCCTTGTTTATGACTCCTCTAAATGCCTACAAAGGAACTAACTCTGCACAATTAACACAGCAAACTTCTAACTAAACATGGAAAGTTCTGGTTACCTTAAGCCTTGTAGAATTCTAAAAAATGTTTCCAAATGAACCTTGTGGCAATACTTGTAATTCTTGGGATTTCTCAAACATATTTTTCTTTTCTCCACCTATTTAACCAGAACACTACTAATTGCTTGTAAAATTCATAGGCAATACTCCAAATATCTAACAACTCATAAATAAATTCCAAGTAATCAATTAGTTTGCAACAAGATGCACGTACACTTTGTTCCTCCCAAAGTGCAACCTCCTTACATACGAGTCCTATATATACCAGCAAAGGATATACAGTCTAAAAAATTTCAAACTAAACTTTAGTGTGTTCTTGCTACTCTTTGCCATTAACCTTATAGAATCGTAAAAAACCAACCTATAAACCTTGGTGCAACATGCTTTCTTGTAATTCTTGGGATTTCCAGAACCTAAGTTTCGGTTTCTAATTAACCTTTTATCTTTTCTCCAAAAGCACCACGTATTAAAGTCATTGACAACATTCCAGATTTTTTACAAACCCAAATAGATTCCTAGGAACTCACTGAAATTAATTAGAATCCAAACAAAATCACAGAATCCAATACAATGTGCATATACTCTGTTCCACCCACCACCCATCATTTAAATACTCAAATCAAACGTCAAGTTGCAACTACATTACATGAGAGTCCTATATTTGCCTGCAAAGGACAAAAATCTGCACAATTCATCTAAATCATGACAAAACAACCTCCAAATGAACCTTGGTGCAATATGCTCTCTAGTAATTCTTGTGATTTGTAGAACCTAAGTTTCAATGTCTAATTGACCCCTTTCTTTCTACAAAACACCACTTATCTACCATTAAAGTCATTGACAATATTCCAGATTTTTAACAATCTCAGATGGATTCCAAGCAACTGACCTAGATTAATTATAATCAGGCAAAATCTCAAAATCCAACTTGCATAGACATTATTCCACCTATCACCCATTTGAATACTCAAATCGAATGCCAAAGTGCAACATCATTAAATGAAAGTCCTATAATTGCCTACAAAGGACAAAACTCTGGACAATTTACCGAACTTCTCACTAAGCATAATATGTTTTGTTTACTTATTGCCTTAAACACTGTAGAATGATCAAAAACAACCTTTAAAATGGACCTCACAACAGTGTTCTTTCTTGTAAATCTGGTTCTAGAAGGTCACTTTCAGATTCTAAGTACCAATTTTCTTATCTCCATTTATTGCACCTGCATACTTCTTGCTTACCACAAAATCATTGGTAATACTCCAGATTTTAACAAAGCCACAGAAAAATCCAAGTAACTCACCTAAATTTAGATATGCAATACTGAGTTCCTTGTGTCACCATCTGGACATTCAATTTAAATCCTAAAGTGCAACATCCATGTATATAAAGCCTCTAAATTACCTGCAAAGGAACCAAACTCTGCAGAACACCCGCAAACTACAAACTAAACTTGATATGTTCGGGTTACTCTTTGCCCTGAGCCCTGTAGAATGGCAGAAACACAACCTCCAAATAAACTTTGCCGAGATATACTCAATTGTAATCTTGGGATTTCTCAAAACTAAGTTTCATTCCCAAATAACCTTTTTTATTCCTTTTCTCTATTTATTTAACCAGAACAGTACTAATTGATCATGAATTTCATTTGCGATGCTCCAGATATTTACCAACCCACTAACAAATTTCAAGCCACAAACCTAAATTAGAACGAATTTCAAAAGATGCAATACTTAGTTCCCCATGTTACCTTATGGAAAATCAATCTAAATCCTGAAGTGAAATGTCCTTGTATACAAGTCCTCTAAATGCCTGCGAAGGAACCAAACTAACTGAACTTTGTTTTTTCTAGTTACTCTTTGCCTTAAGAATTGTAGAATGGTGGAGAAACAACCTCCAAAATGCTTTACTGTAATACTCTTACTTGTAAATAATGGAATTTCTCAAACCCATGTTTCTGTTTTACCTAACATTTCTTCTTTTCTCCATTTATCTAACTGGAATGGTAGCAATCCATTGTAAAATTCGTTGGCAATACTCCAAATATTTGATAACCCAAACAAAAATTCCCAGTAACTCATTTCAACCAATTAAGACTAACAAGATGCAACATAAACTTTCCTCTTCGTGTCACCGTTTGAATGTTCAATTGATACCTAAAGTGCAATGTCTTCACATAAAAGTCCTATATACACCTGCAAAGGGCAAAATTCTAGACAATTCTAAATACTACTTATCTCAATATCATTTTTTTGGATTCTAAAAATCATTTTTGCTTTCTCCATTTATTTCACCACAATTATACTTGTCTACTATAAAATTAATGACAATACTCAATATACCTAAGAAACACACAGATAAATCCCAAGTAACTCACCTAAATCAGATGGAATCCAAAAGATACAGCCGTAAGTTACTTGTGTCACCATGTAAACATTCAATTTAATCCTAAAGTGCAATGTCCTTGTTTATGAGTTCTCTAAATGCCCACAAAGTAATCAAAGTCTGTACGACACCAGCAAACTTCTAATTAAACTTGGTATGTTGTAGTTACTCTTTGCCTTAAGCCTTGTACAAAGGTTAAAAAGCAACTACAAATGAACCTTGCTGTAATATGCTTGCTTGTAATCCTTGGGATTTCTGAGCCTAAGTTTCTGCTCTACATGACCTTTTTTCTTTTCTCCATTTGTCAACCAGAACACCAGTAATCTGTCATAATATTCAATGGCAATACGCCAAACTTTAACAACCTAGAAATAAATTCCAAGCAGCTCACCTAAATTAATTAGAATCCAACAGCACGTGCACATACTTTGTTCCTCCTATCACCATTTGAGTATTCAACTGATACTCTAAAGTGTAATGTCCTTACACAAAAGTCCTATATATACGCCTGCAAAGGGCAAAACTCAGCACAATTCTTAATAATCCTTGTCTATATACTATTTTTCAGGTTCTAAATACCATTTCTTTTTGCTTCATCAATTTCACCTCAATACTATGAGTACCATGAAATTACTGACAATACTCAAAATTTGTAACAAACCAATAGAGAAATCCCAAGTAACTCACCTAAATTAGACAGAATCCAAAAGATGTGACACTCAGTTCCTCGTGTCACATCTGGACCTTCAATCAGATCCCAAAGTGCAACATCCTTGTTTACCAGTCCTCTAAACGCCTGCAAAGGAACCAAACTCTGCACAAAACAGCAAACTTCTAACTGAACTTGGAATGTTCTGGTTATCTTAAGTCTTATAGAATGCTAAAAGAGGTCCAAATGAACCTTGTGGCAATACACTTGGGAAATTCTTGGGATTTCTCGAACCTATGTTTCTGTTCTAAATAACCTTTTTTTTCCCTGTTCTCCACATATTTAACAAGAGCACTACTAATCAGCATAAAATTCATCGGCGATACTCCAAATAATTCACAATCCACAAATCAATTTCAAGAAACTCAATCACTTTGCAACAAGATGCATATATACGTTGCTCCCCCTGTCACCACTTGAATATTCAATTCATACATCAAAGTGCAAAATCCTTATATGAGAGTCCCATACATGCTAGTAGAGAGTATGACTCTACCCAATTCACCTAACTTCTTACTAACCTTAGCATGCTTTCAGTACTCTTTGCCTTAAACCTTGTCGAATAATCGAGAACAACCTCTAAATGAAACTCAGTGCGATATGCTTTCTTGTAAATGTCTGGAATTTCTAAAAAGCTCACTTTCAGTTCCTAATTAACCTTTTTCTTTTCTATATTTATTTCACCACAGTACTACTTATTTACAATAAAATCTATTGATAACATTTTAAGCTTGTAACAGACCCATAAAATAGAATTGGAGTAACTCATCTAGATTTGATAGAACCAAATAGATCTAAGAATCCAAAAAGATGTAACTTTAGTCCCTCATGTCATATTCAATTTAAATCCTAAATTACAATACCCTTACATAAGAAGCATACAAAGGCCTATGCAGTTGACGAATGAAGTCTTTCCAAGAGTCTAAACACATAGGAATGAATTCTTTAGACCCAAACAACATCAAAAACAAAATTGCATTCTAGATTCTTAGAATTGAAACTTTAGTTCTAATGAAAGCCTTCAGTTCTCTACCCATGGCACCCACAGGAATGCTAGAGGAGTTAATTGCATACGTATCTTCTCTTTTCTGAAAATTAAAATCCTGCCCTTTTTTGTCCATCACTACCCTAAGCATCACCCAATGCTTTCCATTAAGTTCATTAGTCTCCATTAAAAATCTACAGCCATTTCTACATTAGAATCAAAATTTTCTAATGCGATTTAGGATTATCTCTGTTGGGTTTCAATCTCTAATGATAAGCAGCATAGATCAAAAATATAACTGAGCTCAAAGGACTGATTGTGCAGTTTTGTTTCGTTCTTGAGTCTCAAAATGTCTAAAATTATTAGAAGTATTAGTCAAAGATTTTAATGTAGGCAACAAGTAAATCATTCACTTAAGAATTTTGGCCACAAATAGTGTACTTGCATGACTCAAAAACTCCATATGGTACCATCTATCCCTTTTTGGCTTACAAAAAAAGAACCCATTCCCTATCGAAAATGAGTAGATAAAATAAGCCATATAGGGCCAACAGCACGTCATTTAAACCATAAGAGGTCTTCAGTCATGCAATGACACTATTTGAGGCCAAAAGTTTTAGGAAATAATGACTTGTAGCCTACTTTAAGCACTTTGACTAATATTTCTATTGATTTTAATCATTTTCAAATTGAAGTCTGAAATAAACTGCACAATCAGTCACAACGTACTCCACATATATTTTTGAATTATGCCAATACCATATGAGAATGAAACCCAGTGGAGAGAATCGAAAATCACGCTAGAAAATTTGAAATCTAACTGTGAGGTGGTTGTAGAGAGTTGATATAGACTAATGAACCTACTGGGACTAAGTTAGAAATGCTTGCAGTAATGAGGGGCCAAAAAATTGCAGGATTTTAAATCCCAGAAAAAAAGGAGATAGGCATGCACAATTGGCTGCTCTAGCACTGAAGATGGTGCCATGGATAGTAATAAATAAATGGCTTTCATTAGAACCAGATTTTCAATCTAAGAATTAAGGAAGCAAATTTGTGATTGATGTTATTTGGGTCCAAAGAGTTCATTTTATGTGTTTAGACTATTCGAAGGACATCATGGGTCAACTAACACATTTTGTATACCACTTTGTGAAATGCTATTCTACTCCATTGCATCTTTGGCAATTACTCATACTCCATGAAGTGGACAAGAGGATAAGATAAGCAATAAAAGGGAAAATGGATAGCACCTAAAATGGGGGCTTTGCCTAAGACATGTAACCCATAGACAGAAGCACGAGCAGAGTAATAATTCCAACAAAAAAATTGAAGAATGGTGAAAAGGAAAATCAGACCAAAAGACAGAAAATCATAAATAGAAAGGCCCATCCCTCTAGGGTAACAGGAAGTTGAAATTTTTCCTTGCGAAATGACTTTCAGAAGCTATATCAGAGAAAGCACGACAATGTCCAATAGTCTACTTGAATTCCATAGAGAAATGCAAAATTATTTCGAAGCATCAATTATATCATGATGCTGGTTGTCCCCCAAATTATCTTTTTAATGTAACTTCTTGAGGGATCATAAGTATCAAGGACACCAACTGGAGAGAATAGATAATAATGCTGGAAATCTGAAAGTCTAGATGGATGCTGTTACCAGTAATAACTGTTTCATGCTATTTAATCCTTAAAGGAATAGTAATAAATCAACTACAGCCATTCAAAGGGGATTAGGAAATATCTTTCCATCTTTTACAATCATTTCAGTATAATCAGAATGTTTAGTGGATATCCATTAAAATACGGGGAAAAAAATCATGTACTTCAAGAAGTATATCTTTCTATTTCAATTTCTAACATGTGAGGTGCTGATCACTGATGGTCGAATAAGACAAGGAAAAGCTGGAGAAAAAAGAAAAACATAAGAAGCTCCACTCCTACCTTGAGCTTGAAGTAGATGAAGATTATGCAAAAAGAATGATTGAATGAGAGTAGACCTTTTAACAACAACGCATAACCAGATGAATTCCCATGTGAGGTATCAAAGATCAAATTGCTAGCAAATTAAAAGAAACCAAAGTATAACAATCAAGAAAGCAAGAATTCAAAAAACAGAAAATCAAGAAACACGTTCATCCAAATAAACCTCATGAAAGGAAAAATTGTGAGAAAATGGAGACCTCTGCAATAAGGCTAGAATCTATATAACCATCTAAAAGCAAACTTGGCAGGAAAAGAGAGTCCATTCATTTAAGATAGGCAGTAGGACTTTCATTCTGGAGTTCCTCATTGACAATAGAGGGAAGATAGAAACAAGTAGAGGCATTGTTGACTAGCAAATAGTATACTGCTAAACCAACAACTGGGAAAACCAAAATGATGATGAAATGAAAGTGAAGTACGGGAAATGGACAAGAGAGTTGCAGTTTGGTAAGCTATTTTTACCATAGGAGACAACTTGACATTTACTGTTTGCAACTCACCGAAAGAGTATCTGCACCTCAAAATGAAGGCAGATGATATAGGTCATGTGCATTGTTGCGAGTAAAAAATCAAAGCCTGAGTGAGGGAAGCAACAATTTATTGACATTTAACAACTAAAGAAATTATCATCAATTAATTCTAAGTCTTTAGCCACTGAGACAAGTCCCTATTTTGTTTTTGAGAATTTCCATCCAAGCATCAACATCAGTTAGGTATTATCCAAAATATAATAGAAAGGAATACCATCATTCAATAGGCAAAGTAATACAGAAGATGCATGGGCAGCATAACTGAAACTAAGCAACATGTCTTTCAATAAGAATTTCCAGCATAACTAATGACAGCTGCTGCAAAAACAAGCAAGAAAAGACAAAATGTATAATTCAATAGCGTAAATAGACCACACAACAGAAAATCTAAAGTAAACTAATCAATGTTTTAAAAGTAAGCAATAAGCATTCACTAATATTTTTTTCCCTGGATACTCTAGTTGCATGGCTCAAAATCTCCAAGTGGTTTAAACTTATGCCTCCTATCCCTTTGCAACTTACAAAAAACAAGGACCCATAACCCATCAAACGAATAGGCATACGAGTAGATAAAATAAGCCATAAAGGGTAGATGGAATAGTATTCAAACTACTGGGAGTTTGTGATTTAATCACCTACACTGTCTGAGGCCAAAATATTTAGTCTGGCTTCTTTTTTTTTTTTTCTCTCTTTATCAGAGTATGAAACATGATATACATGCAAGCAGTTTTCAAGCACAATGGATGTTTCTAATTATGCCATTTATCATCAGATATTAAAACCCAAATTAGACAATAAAAAAATTATAATACAGAATTCCATGTAACTACCCTAAACCCTTCAAGCATAATATAAACATGTACAAATAACTGGTGATCAATTTTACGCCATTTAACTTCAATAGAAATAACTGGTATTGAATTCAGTTTTCTCTTTCTTTTTTTATTTTCAAAGTGCTTCAACACAAAAACAAAGATTGTTTAGATCTCCCGTAAAACAGAACAAAATATAGAGGCAGATAGAAAAATTCCTAATACCTTCAGTTTCTAACATGTAAAAACCAGAATAAAACAAATTAAAAAAACAGCAATCTACACTACAGCCACTATATGCAAACACATGTACAGGGACAAAATTCACAATGAATTAGGGATTAAGTCATAATTGATATCAAATTAAAGATGAATCAGTTATATGCAGCAAGAAAGCACGGAACTCAAAGAATCTCATCTACGAGAAGGGGGGAAAAAAATAGAAAAGAAATAATACTCATCTGAAAGCGTTTCTCCTCAAAAATCTATCACCACTGCTGGAAAAGAAAGCAATTCTCTTCACATGAACCTTTCTGCCCTCTCTCCCCCCTCGCTCTGTTTTGAATTTTTGGAAAGTGAGAATACAAATGTGAGCTTTATGTAGAGGCTACTGGGTGTCAGTAAATGACTAATTTTCGGTCACTAGTGTGGTCCAAATACCAATGGTAAACTCAAACAGGTTGGTTTGGATGGATTAATCATAAATTGGACAGAGTCCAAAAGATGCGACACTCTGTTCCTCGTGTCACATCTGGACCTTCAATTAAATCCCAAAGTCCAGCATCCTTGTTTACCAGTCCTCTAAACGCCTGCAAAGGAACCAAACTCTGCACAAAGCAGCAAACTTCTAACTGAACTTGGAAAGTTTTGGTTATCTCAAGTCTTATAGAATGCCAAAAGAGGTCCAAATGAACCTTGTGGCAATACACTTGGGAAATTCTTGGGATTTCTCGAACCTATGTTTCTGTTCTAAATAACCTTTTTTTTTCCTGTTCTCCACATATTTAACAAGAGCACTACTAATCAAGCATAAAATTCATAGGCGATACTCCAAATAATTCACAATCCACAAATAAATTTCAAGAAACTCAATCACTTTGCAACAAAATGCATATATACGTTGCCCCCTGTCACCACTTGAATATTCAATTTATACATCAAAGTGCAAAATCCTTATATGCAAGTCCTATATATGCTAGCAGAGAGTATGACTCTACCCAATTCACCTAACTTCTTACTAACCTTAGCATGTTTTCAGTACTCTTTGCCTTAAACCTTGTAGAATAATCAAGAACAACCTTTAAATGAAACTTAGTGCAATATGCTTTCTTGTAAATGTCTGGAACTTCTAAAAAGCTGACTTTTAGTTCCTAATTAACCTTTTTCATTTCTATATGAATTTCACCACAGTACTTCTTATTTACAATAAAATCTATTGATAACATTTTAAGCTTGTAATGGACCCACAAAATAGAATTGGAGTAACTCATCCAGATTACAGAGAACCAAATAGATCTTAGAATCCAAAAAGATGCAACACTTAGTCCCTCATGTCATATTCAATTTAAATCCTAAACTACAATGTCCTTACATAAGAAGCATACAAAGACCCATGCAGTTGACGAATGAAGTCTTTCCAAGAGTCTAAACACATAGCAATGAATTATTTAGATCCAAACAACATCAAAAACAAAATTGCATTCAAAATTCTCAGAATTGAAACTTTAGTTGTAATGAAAGTTTTCAGTTCTCTACCCATGGCACCCACAGGAAATCTAGAGGCGTTAATTGCATACGTATCTTCTCTTTTCTGAAAATTAAAATCCTGCCCTTTTTTGTCCCTCACTACCCTAAGCATCACCCAATGCTTTCCATTAAGTTCATTAGTCTCTATTAACAATATACAGCCATTTCTACATTAGAATCAAAATTTTCTTATGTGATTTAGGATTATCTTTGTTGGGTTTCAATCTCTAATGATAAGCGGCATAGATCAAAAATATAACCAAGCTCAAGGACTGATTGTGCAGTTTTGTTTCTTTCTTCAGTTTCAAAATGTCTAAAATCATCAGAAGTATTAGTCAGAGATTTTAATGTAGGCAACAAGTAAATCATTCACTTAAGAATTTTGGCCACAAATAGTGTACTTGCATGATTCAAAAACTCCATATGGTACCATCTACCCCTTTTGGCTTACAAATAAAAAACCCATTCCCAATCGAAAATGTGTAGATAAAATAAGCCATATAGGGCCAACGGCAGTCATTTAAACCATAAGAGGCCTTCAGTCATGAAATTACACTATTTGAGGCCAAAAAAGTTTAGTAAATAATGACTTGTAGCCTACTTTAAGCCCTTTGACTAATATTTCTATTGATTTTAATCATTTTCAAATTGAAGTCTGAAATAAACTGCACAATCAGTCAATGTGCTCCACATATATTTTTGAATTATGCCAATACCATATGAGAACGAAACCCAATGGAGAGAATCGAAAATCACGCTAGAAAATTTGAAATCTAACCGTGAGGTGGTTGGAGAGAGTTGATATAGACTAATGAACCTACTGGGACTAAGTCAGAAATGCTTGCAGTAATGAGGGGCCAAAAAATTGCAGGATTTTAAATCCCAGAAAAAAAGGAGATAGGCATGCGCAATTGGCTGCTCTAGCACTGAAGATGGTGCCATGGATAGTAATAAATAAATGGCTTTCATTAGAACCAGATTTTCAATCTAAGAATTAAGGAAGCAAATTTGTGATTGATGTTATTTGGGTCCAAAGAGTTCATTTTATGTGTTTAGACTATTCGAAGGACATCATGGGTCAACTAACACTTTTTGTATACCACTTTGTGAAATGCTATTCTACTCCATTGCATCTTTGGCAATTACTCATACTCCATGAAGTGGACAAGAGGATAAGATAAGCAATAAAAGGGAAAATGGATAGCACCTAAAATGGGGGCTTTGCCTAAGACATGTAACCCATAGACAGAAGCACGAGCAGAGTAAAAATTCCAACAAAAAAAATTGAAGAATGGTGAAAAGGAAAATCAGACCAAATGACAGGAAATCATAAATGGAAAGGCCCATCCCTCTTGGGTGACAGGAAGCTGAAATTTCTTCCTAGCAAAATGACTTTCAGAAGCTATATCAAAGAAAGTATGACAATATAGTTTCTAACCCTTGTAACTTACAAAAGAGTACCTGTAGCTCAAAATGAAGGCTGATGGAATACAAAGAAACCAAAAGTGGGTCATGCGCATTCTCACGAGTGAAAAATCAAAGCCTAATGAGGGAAAGCAACAATTTATTGCCATTCAATAACAAAAGAAACTATCAGCAATCAATTCTAAGTCTTTAGTAACTGAGACAAGTCTGTTTTCTTTTTCTTTCTTTGTTTTTTTTCTTTTGAGAATTTCCATCTAAGCATCAACATCAGTTAGGTGTCATCCAAAATATGACAAAAAGGAATACCATCATTCAATAGGCAAATTACTACAGAACATGCCTAGGCAGCATAACTGAAACTAAGCTACATGTCTTTCAATAAGTACTTCTTGCATAACCAAAGACAGCTGATGCAAAAACAAGTAAGAAAAGATAAATTGCATAATTCAACAATGTAAACATACCACGCAACAGAAAATCTAAAGTAAACTAATCAAAGTGCCAAAAGTGAGCAATAAGTATTCACTAGTATTTTTTGCCCTGGATAATCTAGTTGCGTGACTCAAAAACTCCATGTGGTTTAGACATATACCTTCTATCCCTTTGCGGCTTACAAAAAAAAGGACCCATAGCCCATCAAATGAATAGGCATACGAGCAGATAAAATAAGCCACAAAGGACAGATGGAATAGTATTCAAACTACCAGGTGTTTGTGATTCAATCACCTATATTATCTGAGGCCAAAATATCTAGTCAATCATCTACTGGTTTATTTTTCTTTTTTTTTTTATTTTTTCTTTATCAGAGTAGGTTTCACGCATGATATAAACATGTGCAAAGAACTGGTGAACAATTTAACGCCATTTAACTTCCATAGAAATAACTGGCATCCAATTGCTCTTTGTCTTTCTTTTTTGATTGTCAAAGTGCTTCAACATAAAACAAAGAATGTCTAAATCTCCCTTAAAACAGAACCCATGCACAGGGACAAGTTCGCAAATAATTTGGCTTTAAGTCATAATTGAAAGAAAATAACAGATAAATCGGTTATATGCAGCGAGAAAGCAGGGAAGCAATAAGTATTCACTAGTATTGTTTGCCCTGGATAATTTAGTTGCGTGACTCAAAAACTCCATGTGGTTTAGACATATACATTCTATCCCTTTGCGGCTTACAAAAAAAAGGACCCATAACCCATCAAATGAATAGGCACACGAGCAGATAAAATAAGCCACAAAGGACAGATGGAATAGTATTCAAACTACCGGGAGTTTGTGATTCAATCACCTATATTATCTGAGGCCAAAATATCTAGTCAATCATCTACTGGCTTCTTTTTCTTTTTCTTTTTTTTCTTTATCAGAGCAGGTTTCAAGCATGATATAAACATGTGCAAAGAACTGGTGATCAATTTAACGCCATTTAACTTCTATAGAAATAACTGGCATCCAATTGCTTTTTGTCTTTCTTTTTTGATTTTCAAAGTGCTTCAACATAAAACAAAGAATGTCTAAATCTCCCTTATAACAGAACCCATGCACAGGGACAAGTTCACGAATAATTTGGCTTTAAGTCATAATTGAATGCAAATAATAGATAAATCGGTTATATGCAGCAAGAAAGCAGGGAACTTGAAGAAGATTATGCAACAAGAAAGCACGAAACCTGAAGAATCTCATCCCCAGGAAGGGGGAAAACAAAGAAACAGTAAAGAAATAATACTCATCTGAAAGCGTTTCTCCTCAAAAATCTTTCTTCATTGCTGGAAAAGTAAGCAATCCTCTAAGCAAAAATTGAATTCATCCCCCAATTTTTTGATTTCCCTGCCCACTCTCTCCCCCTCTCTTTGTTTGGAATTTTTGGATACGGGGCAGGAGCGGTCGTCAAGCCGACCGCTCCTGAACTGTCCTCTCACAAGCAAAAACATGAGGAGAAAAATGATCCACGTCAAGAAGGCTTAAGAAGGGGCAAAAACGACGCCGTTCCAAATTAAAAAATTTGGACTTCCAAACGGAATTAGACGGAGCAAACGGTAGAGTTGAAATTTTGAAAAGCAAATTGAAATTTTGAATTAGCCGTACAAAACGAAATTGAGGGAAGAGGCTTGGCGTACTCCGTCTGAAGATAGGGAGCTCAGTTTTCTTTTTTCAGAAACCTCGTATCTCAGTTTTCTTTCTTAGAAAACTGTAGCACAAAATTCAGAGAGCTGAAGGAAGAGGCTTGGCGTGCTCCGTCTGAAGATAGGGAGTTGACAGAAAACTCTTATCTTAGTTTTCTTTTCTCAGAAAACTCGACACAATTTCCGTCCGAGAGTGTTACCGAGAAACTGAGAAGAGACTTTGGTGACTGGGTCAGCAAATGTTGTATCCATTTTAAATGCTTACAAGGCTTGCAGGAAGGTAGAAGCAAACAGAGGAAATTCAACATGTCATAAAACACCAGATTCTGTCCTTCAACTTAATAGCTGAAGCAGCTGCACTCTCTGAATTTGGTGAAATGTAGAGTGCATTAGCAGACGAAGGTAACGTGACAGAACCATATAACTAACTGTGGCCAATTATTTGTCATCCAAATGCACATCTGTTAAATGAAAGATGAAATTAGATTCACTGAAGACATCATATGAAGATGATAGAAGAATAGTAAAATTGTACCGTATCTGTGTGTGTGTGTGAGCATTTAGCTTTTCAGTGATGAACTATAATGGGATAGTAGTCATCGGAAGACCCAGGGGTATGTATTGAAATCAAGCGGAATTAGTGAAAGATGAGAGAAATAAAGTCACATGTAACAAGTGAACGAATGTACATCCTGTTGTAAATTAGTTACAGGTTATAGGTACTGTATTACAATTGATATGAATCATTGTGCATCTAATAGTTGGTCCATACTCATGACAAAATCTTAGTTTGCCCTTCTCTCCTGACCATGCAGTGTGTATATAATGGAGGTGCAGAATTAAATGAGGTAAAACAGAGGAAAAGACCGACCTATGTGAATAATAAATGGGTGTACCTGGTGTTGTAAGTAAATTACATGATGTAATAAATATATTACAATGAGTAGAAAATGCTTATTTGGCCCTCAAAATATAGAAA